CCTCTCGCCCGAGAACAACATCGATCTGTTATCTCTCACTTAGCGCAGGGAAAGCCTGATCTCGACTGTTTCCTTTGCTTTTCTTATTCACAAGCGAGTCAACTGGCACGTACCCTTCAATTTCTTTCCCCGATGCCAACTAGTTTCTCGCGGCTAGTCGCGAATTCTGCCTTTAACTACACGATATGACCAAGCTGACACAAAAAAGGTAACACTCCATACTTTTTCAGCTGTTTGCTGAGACTGGAATTCGATCCTCAGCACCGTTCGTGGGCCTTGTGGTGCTTCTAGCCACTCTTATTTCCTGTCTACTAACTCTCCATCGAATAAATAGAATTCATTATGAATTTCCCAACAGAATACTTAACAAAGCGGAGCAGCAACGTCTCAATTACCGGCATTTCAGAAACTTCTAACTTCAAAAAATACTCTATGTAATACCATGAGATAGAAAATACCCTCACTGGATGAAAAACAGAATAATACCATAACAATAGAAAAAAAAACGAAATCGAGGCTGTTTTTGAACTTCCAACCACCATTAATCGGCATGCGCGACTATTGATTACACGCGCGTAAAGTCAATACGCACATTTCTAATGCGTCGTTGGAAGTGCAGAACCAGCTCAAATCTAATCTTATTAAAAACAATAAAAAGATCACAATGTGTAGAAAGATGTGAAGGAAGTAGAGTACCGTGTTAAACCCTCAACAAAAACAAATCATTCCGTAGGCATTACTTCGACGGTTTCTTCTGAGCCGCCGATTGCGCCATCGCAGCCACCTCATCTGAGTGGAAGAATACGCTGGGAATATCTTGTCCGTAGAAGATCTTGTTGTTCTTTGCGACCGCTTCGATTCGCCTTAGCTCCAGGTATTCCCTGAAGTTTCACATCTGAGAGTTATTGTAGTAAGTGAATACCATCTTCTGCTTACTATTAGTTCCAATTGCCAGGCAACCAATTATAGTCAGGGTACAGCAACGTGGGTGAAAAAGTGGTGTCAATACGACCCTCACAGATTTTCCTGTTAGAACACGAGCCTACCTACCCCTTACCAAATCCTCCCCTTTCCCTATCAGTTTTCCAAAAAGTTAGTGATGTTCATACTTCGCGAGCAATTGAGTCAATA